CCCCCCCCCACACACACAGAGGAGGGAAGCCCTGTCGCACGCCTCCTGCGGGGCTGACGCGTGCTTCCCATGGAGTACAGAAGCCCATGCACGTGCCCCCTCCGGAGCCAACCCCTCCTCCCACGGAGCAAGGAAGCCCCATCACACAAGTTCTCCAGGGCCGGCGTGAGCCTCCCGCAGAGCAGGGAAGCCCCCGTGCATGCACCCTCCAGGGCTGACTCCCTCCCGTCCTGCTGCAGAGAAGGGAAGTCCCAGAGCACACCTCTGGGGACTACCCCAGTAAGCTCCCGGCACGCTACAGAGCTGGGGCAAGGAAGCAGCCAGCGCATTTCCAGAATCCCCAGAAGTGACACACAGCTCAGGACTTCTGTCCACCCAGTGGGAAGCAGCCACTACCCTCCATTGCCACTGGAGGTAGGTAGTGGAGCTTCTTGGGGGTGAGGGGAAATGAGGACCAGGAACGCCACACGATCAATGGGCTGAAACTGTTTTGGTCCCCAAACTGTTTTTGGTCCCAAAACAGACCCCAGTGGAACCCCACTTGTTATGCTCTTCCAGCATGACTGTGAACCGTTAATAACCATTCTCAGAGAGTAGTTATCTGGCCAGTTATGCACCTACCTTATAGTAGCCCCATCTAAGTTGGATTTGCCTAGTCTATTGATAGGAAGGTCATGAGAGAAAGTATCAAATGCCTTCCTAAAGTCTAGGTATACCACATTCACCGCTTCTCCCTCATCCACAAGACTTGTTATCCTATCAAAGAAAGCTATCAGATTGGTTTGACATGATTTGTTCTTTACAATTCCATGCTGGCTGTTACCTATCACCTTATTATCTTCCAAGTGTTTGCAGAGGAATTCCTAATTATCTGCTTCATTATCTTTTCTGGCACAGACGTTAAACTGACTGGTCAGTAGTTTTCTGGGTTGTTCTTATTTCCCTTTTCATAGATGGGCACTATATTTGCCCTTTTCCAGTCTTCTGGAATCTCTCCCGACTTCCATGACTTTTCAAAGATGATAGCTAAAGGCTCAGATACGACTTCTATCAGCTCCTTGAAAATTCTAGGATGCATTTCAGCAGGCCCCGGCGACTTGCAGACATCTAAATTTTCTAAGTAATTTTTAACTTTATTTTATCTTCCAAAGCTACCCCATTTCCACTAGCATTCACTATGTTAGGCATCCCTTCATCATTAAACTTCCTATTAAAGACCGAAACAAAGAAGTCATTAAGCATTAACATAATGCATTGTAATTAATAATCATGTTGTAATATATATTACTTACTCCTTGACAATGAAGGTAGTCAACTGTTTTAGTTATAGTATACAATACAGCACTAGCCTCTCGTTCCGAGAAATACTTTTGTCGGAGAATCCGATCAAGCAGCTCTCCTCCCTTCATCAATTCAGTAACCAAGTAAATACATCTGCCATCATCATACACCTGCAGAAGTTTAAAAACAAATGCATACTCTTCTGAATAATTCACAATAAAATACAGTTTAAGTATTTTTAAGGATAAACAAAAAAGTCCTCTCAATCTTCTAAGTGTATATGAATATGGAATTTTCAACTGAAAATTCATGCCTTGTGGCATGAGGATTAATAAAGCACATTCATCTCATTGTCATGTGGCAGTAGTAGGTCATTAAATGATGACTGTGGAATTCATTTTTTCCATCTATGAACCTGAGATGCCCTGCGAAGAAGCATTTTGATTCTCCCTATCCTTTACAGATGTGATTTTGAATTATAGCATTTTGTATACGGTCACGTAAGCAGTTTATTTCTACTTTAAGTCATCCACATGTTATGTGTTCAGTAGAAGTAACGACGGCAAAAACAAGCTTGCAGTATCGGACTTAGAAAGATGTATATATTAAAACTGTAGGACTCTTATTTTAAAAACCAAGTAAGTTCCCCAATGTACTAGTAAAACATGTCAATTATAGCTGGAGTTAGCCATTTTAGGGCAGCTAGTGATTCTGAACGTGAAGAACCCTGCATCCCACTACCACATGTTCTCCTCCCTTGATCAACTGGTGTTGTCCCAATCTACGCCATCAATACACCACCTATTGAAATAGGAGCATGGTGCACTTTGCTTCTTAATAGCAAATGATGAATGCCCAAATGAATTTGGTTTCTGTTCTATTTATGAATTTATTTTTAATCCTTAGTAATAGCAGGAATACTTGGTCCTTTTTAAGATTTCTGCTATAGAATTCTTTGGAAAACAAGAGCACTACAGTAGGAGCTTACTGAGCTATTAATTTAAAGTGTATGATGGTATGAGTGCTGAGTCTTTTAAAAGTAGATCTTTAAGTGCTTGTTAGGCATTTTGAGTTAAACAAAAACCAAATAATTTATAGTATCTAAAAATCCCATCTCCTGTCACATATACAAGTTCCATTAAATAATTAATAGTATCATAATTCTACTAACTGTCTGTCTATACAATCTTCCAGTAGAAACATGAAAAACAAGATCTGAATTTCATATGGAAGGGAGAGTGGAGATTAACTCTTAAAAAAGTGAAGAATTCTTTGCTTCACCTGTAAAGCCTATCATTTTCTTTACTCTTTGACTGCTTTAAGGTAAGAATTGTAAAATTTAAAAAGAGTACATACATCTTTTAAAGTAATAATATTCGGGTGTTGTCCATAGCGCATCAAAATCTCAATTTCTTCTGAGGGATCTCTCTTACTTTTGTCAATTATCTGTGAAATAAACAGTGGAAATGGTCTCAATGTAAAGGCAAAATGGATGACTATACTAGATTTTGGATAAGAGACTGCAAAAGCTACAAGATTTTCAAACTGAGCAAGATAGCAGTTTTGACTATAAAAGTCATGCATTATTGCCCTTTACTTTCATGATTCATCCGTAGGAGTAGTGAGCTTGATTTTAATAGCTACAAAGCAACTTAGGGCACATATTGAAAACTGAGGTAATAGAAAGATTTTAAGTGAATTTATCACACTATCCTAAATATTTTTACTTCTTTCCTACTCACCTACAGAGCCCATTGATCTTACCTACACTGCAGTGCTATTCTTTTGAGTGCAACCGTTATTTTGAAATGCAATGAGCTCACTATTCCGACATCCTTGTAACCTCATTCCATGAGATGTTAAGGAGCATTCTGGAATAACAATTTATTTCAAAATAAGTGCTATGTAGACAGCACCAAATTTTGAAATAAGCTATTTTGAAATTGACTCGAAATAAACGATGCAATTTGCCTAGCTGAAATTGTATAGATTATTTTGAGCTATGGGTGCAGTGCAGATGCACCCTTATTGCAAGGGCAAGAAAAAAAGGAAAAGTGAACATTTAACAATATGCTTTTTCAGTCTGTCTAAATATTTGATAATTGAAGTAATCTCAAAGCCAACAGATTTGTTTCAATTGATACATTTCTTCATGAGTCTTTTCCCAATGTTTGATAACCTTCCCTCTGAAAGGAAATGACAACTGTACTTACTAGTAGATGAAAAAAGATACATTACTCAACTGCCAAGTAAGAATTCAGATACCAAAAGAGAATTTACACCAAGTACCTTGACAGCAAACTCCATGTTGGTAGCTATATGCACACATCGTTTGCAAACAGAATAGGAGCCAACTCCAATATCCTCCTTCAGCTCATACACATCAGTGAACTGTGCACTGTTTCCATGAAGTTGCTTTAAATAAATATAAACTGAATTTTAAAACAATGAATTGTATTTAATCAAAACATAATTTTTACTTTCTCAAGCAGAACATATTTTCTTTGTTTGAAGTTTTCTCCTTTTGAAATGTGCATTTAAAAAGACATTCAACTTGATTTTTGACACTAAATTAGCTTAAATTGCTGCATGTTTTATTTACACACACACACACACACACACACACACACACACACACACACACACACAGGTTTTGCAGCTGCTCTGCTGACAGAGTATTTCCAACAGGAAAATGAAGGTTAATTATTAATACCCATGTCAGCTTTGAGCATTTCTGTAAATAAATAAATATACCAAGAAAAATAAATATTACCTGTACTATTGGCAATATATTGGTGAGGGGTGAGATTTTATGATCTTCTATAGCAGTAGTTGCAACAAAGCTAAATCCTTTGAACAGCTGATGTGCATTAGCACTTGGTGGAACTCCTGGAGAATCTAATTGTTAAACACACATGCTTTATTAGAATCTGAAGAGTATTATTGTACTACAGTATGTTCAAACTAAGTCATTCTCTGTGTGTACCATATGTTCTCAAAAGTATTTTACAGTAAATACAAGCAAAATTAGTTCTGAATTATAAGATGAAGCAGTACGCCAATACATCATCTTTTACTTAAATTCTCACTTTTGCTTATTTTAACAGTATCACATGCTAAAGGACGAAGCATGCTTTTTATTGTTTAACTATAAGACTTCAAGATGTTGCAGAAACTAGAATACATGCAATTTCATCTATTTGGCTGCCACACCAAAAAAAAAAAAAAAAATCTATCCATGACTAGTCAGAAAGAAGAACTAAAGACTGATGTACTATTTCATTCATAGTTGTAAGCTCAGATATGAGGAGCTAAAAAGGGTGATGCAAAGAAGCTTCAACTAAAGCATCATTGATACAGGAATGGCAGAAGTACAAGGATCTTGGGAGATAATGCCTGAAGAACATAGTGATAGGTTTCAAATTCACAAAAGCCAAGGACTTCCCAATGCACAATGTGCAACTCTAACTTCACTGTGTTTAGACAATGCACAAATAAAGCTCAATTTGTCCTAGAAGTATTTTCATTCATATATGTAAACTCAGCAATTAAGTTGGATTACAAACTACTAATACCACCTCATGTGGCCAACAAGCCAGATAGCTGGTTTTAAAGTCAGGATGAAAGAGTCACAGGGAGACTGATAAATCGGACTCTTAAATGAACACACTATTTGTTGAACGATAATGATTAACTGAGGGACTGAACATATCAATGTGTGGCAATTTCTGAATGATATTTGAAAGATGACTTCTAGAAGTACTCAAATTCATCTGACAGCTCAAGTCAGGCAAAACATTAATGTATGATAATGTGTTAACTTCACCACACATCCAGTTTTATCAATGCACCTCAATCCTGACAAGGAAAAATCCCTGCTCTCTCTAATCTAGTTTTTACTTACTTTCACTTACATGTATTGGACAAAAACTTAACTGAGCCAAATTATTGCCAGCTATAGAAGATAGTGATCCTGAAATATACTCAAAAACATTCACTAAAAGGACTAGAATATTACAGTCATCTTCACTTAATTTTTGACTTAATAGATTTTTGATAAGACATGAAGAACTATGTATTAAAACATCTAAATTTACAAGCAACATCTAAGACTCAGACCTAGAAGGAATCTGCTCCATTAGCTGTGTTAACAGAGTCCCAATGAAGGGCACAGACTCCAAGTTTTTAATATAAAAATGGTTCCTAGCTCGTACATTTAGGAAAATAATCTCTTTTGATGTGAAACCAAATAAAATATTGTACTGCTGTCTTCCTGATCTATACACAGCCAGGTTCAAGATATTCATGAGCATGAACCCCTCTAATTCATTATAATACAATGCTAATTTTTAAACTAGCACATAATTATGAACATTAATCACAACAACACTAATAATTTTAGCAGGAATCTCAAATGTCCACTAGTAGATACAATCCCATTACCTGGATACGGATTACTTCAACAACAACGGTTTTTTCACTCCATAACTGTCTGGCATCTCTTATCCTCTAACATATATTGGTTAAAATGGTTTAAAAGAAATGCATTGCCGTTCAATTTCCTCACATCTTAGACATGAAGACACTTTGCCTTCTCCTCTAAGACAAAACATGTTTTCTCTGCAGTTTCTCTCGCCAGCAGGTAGAAGATGAATGGGAGAAGACAATTCACTGCCTAAGAATGCTCCTCTTTGGGGTGTGCAGTGAAATAAAGAAATGCAGCTTGATGGAGGAAACTATGAGGCACTCAGGAGAGAGGAGGGAGATTTGGATTTCAGGCCCCCTTCTACAATTTCAAGTCAATCTACCTCTAGAGAAAATGGACATAAAAAAACCAACCACAGGCTAAAACAGGAACAGAAGCAATGGAGAAAGGCATAAAATTGAGACACAAGAGGTTAAAAACACTTTTCCATCCACTAAATGACACTAATGCCACAGCTGATTTTACTATAGTTAGTATATAATCTGCCTTTCATGTTTGTGCAAACTCCCAAGATCGATGGTTCTAATTTTATAGCTCTGGCCCCCAGGCACCAAACAACAATGTAATGTAAGCCTCCTACAGAATCAGTTCATCATATTGACTCATTTCTAAACAGGCACATTACCTTTTGGGGTTTTTGCTGTGAATTCTGGATCAAAACAGAAAGTATCTTCTGGTTTACCAGAAGCAGGTTTAAATGGGGGCTGAATTTCTCTTCTGAACAGTTTCTGTAACAGGAAAACAACAAAAGAAGTTTAACTAAAATTCAGAATGAGTATACAGATATATATGTTCTGTTAAAAAAATCAAAGAAATGCAACTAGAATGTTTTTCATCTATTTCCAAAAGATGTAGTTTTCTGAAAGAGCGCACTTCAAAACAGCAGGCACAGAACAAACATGTATCGCTCTTTTTTTTTCTTAAGACTTGTTCAGATTTTTCTGCTCTCCTGATTTGAAAAATATTAAAATATCAAAGCCTGCCCCACCTACTCCTCCTGCATGTGCCTTACCAAGAAACACTCTCCAATGGCAGGAGGAGGCTGAGAGAGGAGCTCTCTCATACTTTCCCCCATTACAGATCCCTGGGGCAGAAGATTCTGCTTAACCTTTTTCTTTTTTTCCCTGCCTTAGGGTATGAGAGTATTTGATAGTGAACAGTGAGGCACTGCAGCTCCTCTTCTGTCCTAATGAGTGGTGCAATGGTAAAGCATTACCCCAAACAAATATTCCACAGCAGTGCTCCCTCTAATTATGATGTCCATGTACAGAATGAATTATGTGTACCAATATGGAGACAATAGATGACACATCACCTCCATATTGGTGTAAACAAAAAAATTCGTTCTGCACGTGTAAGATCTGACAGGTGTGTGATGCCAAGGGATACCAAGTGTAGGAGAGGCCTCAGGAGTGAAAAGATGAGGGCTCTAGTTGGGGGTGCAGGCTTTGGGATGAGGCTGGGGATAAGGTGTTTAGTGTGGAGGGGATTCCAGGGAGCAAAAGGGTTTGGAATGCGGAAGCAGATTCAGGCGAGGAGATTGGGAAGAGCATGTGGTGTCTTGGCACAAGTTAGAGTGCAGGAGCGGGCTCAGGGTTGGGGAGGTGGTGTCTAAGAGGGAGCTAGGGTGCTGGAGGGCACTCAGAACTGGTGCAGGGTATTTGGCGGGTGGGAGAATATAGGTGACTCCATGCTGCTCTGTGCTCACCGTCAGGCCCTGCCCTCCACCACTCCCATTGGCTGCCCTTCCCAGCCAATAGGAGCTGTGGGGACAGAGATTCCCAGCACTTGGAGAGACAGCTCCAACTGAGGGAAGGAACAGCAACGCATGGGGGTGCCTGCCCCCACCTCAGGAAGGGCAGCCCCAAAACACAGGGACTTTACAGGCTGCAGACCAGTGCCTTGTCATAAGAGGACCCCCTCAGCCAGGGGCCCTGGGCTACAGCCCTTAGAGCCCCTTTTTTAATTCAGCCTTGCTGCTGGGACTGGATGAGCATCCTCACCCCCAACTGCAACAGCTCTCTGCTGTGACCAGGGGAAAAGACATGCTCCTCCAGCCCCACCACAAAGATGCTGCAGCCAGGAGAAGAGACACATTCAGTGTGCTGCAGCCTTGAGCCCCTGTACAGGACTTATTAGGTAGCTGCACAGCCACACAGCTTCGAAGGAACCTTGTTCCTTAGCCCTATTCAGAGTTTGTGAAGAAAAAAGTCTCTGCTTTTATCCTTTTATGGTCAAAGTCTAAATTTCAGTGGATTATAGGGGCTGGATACGTGGTACTCCCTGACAATCACCAGACTTCTACTGTTCCCCGTCCTTGTGTACAAAAAAAATCCACTGAAGAGAAGTCACTCAAGGCTAGGGAAAATATGCATAGCTCATCAAGAACAATCCATGAAACAGAAAGTAAAAATAACCATTCCCAAACCAGAACTGATTTTACACAAAATGGTATCCAATACATGAAGTACACACTATAAAAAAAAAAGTAATGAGGTAAAAGTGCAATTCTCTCTGTGACTTCCTATCTTTTTATTTGAAAACCCTGGAAAAATTTTGAATATGGATCCCTTTGGAAATTGGTGTCTGCAGACCACAGGTTGAAAGGTGCTCTAGACACTGCTTGTTTAGAGAGATCAGATCCTTAGAGAGAAATCTTCTTCCTAGTGTATCAATATATCATCCTACCATTAGGCATGTACAAATTGGATTTTCTTCTATTAATATTTATATTCCTATCCCACCTGCCAGACACAGGTGAGTACAGAAAAAAAGACACAAAACTCGTCAGCATGGTACACGGGTGGCCTCAGCACAATGGCTGACAGTTAAGATTTTTTAGGCATCACAGAAAAGGAGAGTTTTAAGGAGGGATTTGAAGGATGATAACATTTTGTGGTTCAAGGATACTCCTTCCAAGCATGAAGGGAAGCAAGGGAGGCAGGACAAAGGAGCTAGACTGAAAAGTTTAATAAGTGGACAATGGAGGATGGCCTCATGGGCCAACTGGAGATGGCAGTTGCCATCTTGATACAGATGAGCAGAGTTAAGAGAGCCTATGAAAGAACTTGAAAAAGTGAAGACAAGCAACTTATGATCGATGGCACAGAGAAAAGGGAGGCAACAGAGGGATGCAGAAAGGCATGAGGTGAGGAATGAATCAATTTATCAGGCTAGGAAAATGGTTTTTGCAAGAGCATTCTGAATAAATATAAGAAGGGCAAGATTGTATTTTTGAAGACAAAGGAAAAGGATGTTGTAATGAATTGAGATGTGAGCTGAGAGTTTAGCTGTGTGGATGGACTGGAAGAATTCACAGATAAGGCCAGAAGGGGTTATTGTGATCATTTAGTCTCAGTTCCAGTACAAGAAGCCATTAGGACTTCCACGCATTAATTCTTCTTTGATCTAAACTTTATCTTTTAGAAAAAAAACTGAATACTGATTTAAAAGGCTATATTTTAGAAATGTTATGCAGAAAGAATCAGTCAAGAATTAGAAAAAGCCTAGCTGTGAGGACTTCAGTCTAAATTGCAGAGAATACTTATGTTTTGGGTCAGAGACAGGCAGAATGGTGGCAGTGTCCACAATAATCAAGAAGGAAGGCAGCAGAGAGGGTTTTGGCGGCAGAAATTAAAAGCTCTGTTTTAGACATGTTGAGATGGTCTGATACCTAGACATCAACAAGAATGTGTCAGGAAGATGGAGACATCTACTTTGCACAGACCAAAGGGGGAAGTGTGGGAGGAGAACAGGAGAGGACAGTCACAGAAGCCAAAATTTTAAAAAGCGCATGGCTACCAAATCAACAAAAATAAGGATGGAGTAATGGTTCTGAGCTTAGCTGACATACAAGTACAAATGTAAAATCCTCTTTAATTAACCAGTTAAACAAATTAAATAGCGGACAGATGGCTGGAGCAGCTGGGTTGGAGCAGCCCCTTGCCCGCAGCAAGCACCGCTCCAGCCACAGCCTCCATTGGTTAACGGTAACCGGTAAGCATCACCCACAAAGGGTGATGCTTAGCAATAAACCATTCACATTCCTACTTCCAAGCCAGACAGTCAGAGCTGAAAGCCACAGAAGACTGAAGCAAAGGATCAACAGAAGGGTTTACTCTGACACTTCCAAGTTGCAAAGCTGAAACCAGTGACCTGAATGTTGAGAACCATGTGGAAGGGCCTACCTACTGCCGTTTTAGATTGATCACAGAATAGGGGGACCAAGGGACACTGTTTTAATGAGAATGATTGCCCCCATTTTGTAATAGGGCAAGGGAGGGGAAACAGAATCATAGAGCTGGAAGAGATCTCAGGAGATCATCAAGTCCAGCCCCCTGCCCAAGCAGGACCAATCCCAACTTAATCAACACAGCCAGGGCTTTGTCAAGCCGAGACTTAAAAACCTCTAGGGATGGAGATTCTACCACCTCCCCAGGTAACCCATTCCAGTGCTTCACCACCCTCCTAGTGAAATAGTTTTTCCTAATATCCAATCTAGACCTCTCCCACTGTAACTTAAGACCACTGCTCCGTGTTCTGCCATCCATCACTACTGTGAACAACTTTTCTTCATCCTCTTTGGAACCTCCCTTCAGGAAGCTGAAGGCTGCTATCAAATCCCCCATCGCTCTTCTCTTCTGCAGACTAAACAAATCCAAAATCCTCAGTCTCTCTTCATAGCTCATGCACTCCATCCCCCTAATACTTTTTGTCGCCCTCCGCTTGGCCCTCTCCAATGTGTCCAAATCCTTTCTATAGTGGAGGCCCCAGAACTGGACACAATATTCCAGATGTGGCCTCACCAGACCCAAATAAAGGGAAATAATCACTTCTCTAGATCTGCTGGCAATGCTCCTCCTAATGCACCCTAATATGCCATTAGCCTTCTTGGCTACAAGGGCACACTGTTGACTCATATCCAGCTTCTCATCCACTGTAATCCCCAGGTCTTTTTCTGCAAAACTGCTACTTACCCAGTTGGTCCCCATCCTGTAACAATGCTTGGGATTCTTCCGTCTCAGGTGCAGAACTCTACATGTGTCCTTGTTGAACCTCATCAGATTTCTTTTGGCCCAATCCCCTAATCTGTCCAGGTCACTCTGGACCCTCTCCCTACCCTCCAGTGTATCTACCTCTCCCCTTAGCTTAGTGTCATCCGAAAACTTGCTTAGGATGCAATCCATCCCCTCATCCAGATCATTAATAAACGTGCTGAACAAAACTGATCCAAGAACAGATCCTTGGGCACTCCGCTAGAAACCAACTGCCAACCTGACATCAAGCCGTTGATCACTACCCGTTGCGCCCTACAGTCTAAGCCAGCTTTCTAGCCATCTTACAGTCCATTTATCCAATCCATATTCCCTTAACTTGCTGGCAAGAATATTGTGGGAGACCGTATCAAAAGCCTTGCTAAAGTCAAGGTATATCACATCCACAAGGGGAGAGGCAATTCTCGATTTAGTCCTGAGTGGAGCGCAGGATCAGGTGCAGGATATAACCGTTACAGGACCGCTTGGGAATAGTGACCATAATATAACAACATTCAACATTCCTGTGGTGGGAAGAACACCTCAGCAGTCCAGCACCCTGGCATTTAATTTCAAAAAGGGGAATTACACAAAAATGAGGAGGTTAAACAGAAATTAAAAGGCACAGTGACTAGAGCCAAATCCCTGAAAGCTGCATGGAAACTTTTTAAAGACACCATAATAGAGGCCCAACT